TCCATATGAAAAATAAAGTATGACAGGAAGTCTGCAACGCCGCAAACCGATATACGCATTTCTGCAGTCTCACCATCGATATGTGCTGTTGTGGTTCATTTCTAACCCTGTCTAGGGATCCATTTCGACGGTTAGGAAGTGTTCATGAACTACGTGACGCACATTTTCGGCATGATGACACCACCACCCTCCCCCCCCCCCCCCCNAGTGTATCGCTTTTGTGATGACGCACGCTGGATAGAGTCAATCAGGGAGGTTGGATATGAAATTGTTGACTACAAATGCGGATTTCGATGTCTATTCCGTCACATTTTTTTAGAGAGGTGCCTCAAGAAGAACTTTTCACAACAAAACCACTTTCAAAGCCTCAAAGTTGTGTATAACAGAGTAATAAGTTGCACTGTCCGCATGGGGCGTTTCTCGGTTTCCGAGTTGCTTTTTCGCGTTTTGAATGTGTGCATTGCGTTCTACGCGTCATTTGCATTTGAAAATAGTATTTGCAAGTCTAAATTCGTACATAATTCTTAGTAACTTATTATGGCCGGCGTTGCCACAGAATTCACATAATGAAATTCCCTGACATTTGTCTGATTTTTCAAAGACATTTTGGTAAAATTCCCTGACACTTGTAGACTTGCCAGATGATTTAAAATACGCAATTTGAAATAGTTTCCACAAAAAATCTGATGTTCGAATTGTCAGACCCATTCAAGAAGCACATAAAGGTGGACGAACCATTTTTCCCTGACACTTTCGTCATTTTCCCTGACATTTCCAGATTTTAACTAACTTTTGAAAATTCCCTGACATTTCTCGGTATTCCCTGACCGTGACAACCCTGTCGTTGAAAGCAGAAACCTCTAGAAACCTCTAAACACCTTTAAAAACCTATGAACACCTCTAAACATCTCTAAAAACCTCTAAATACCTCAGTAAACATCTAAAACTTTCTACAAAACAATGATTCAGCGACGATGGCAAAATAAAAGCTCAATCTGGCAACATTGTGAGGCTGGACAGCTCGGTGCACGGTGGCGCTTGCTCGCGGTCGACGACGGTTGAAGAGCATTCGCGTTCCATGGTCCACGGCCGGTTAAGCCGCGGTTCCACAGGCAGCCGACGACGAGGAGTTGACCGCCGCGCGACCGGCGCGGCGACCGGTTGCAACCATAATGAACCTGTTGCAAACCACAGCTAGACCAAAAGAGAGGATATTTCATAGAAAATAGCTCCAAAATTACGATGAGCGCATCGGGAAAGTCTAAAATACACTCCTGACTTCACAATCTGCCCCCAAAAGTGCAGCCATTCCTCTATAACCAATTTCTAACACACAAAATTTCACTGACAGTCTGCAGATTCAAATTCTAACCAAAATGACCAAGAATGTAGATAAATGAGCGTTCTTCCGCAAAAATGAGTAAATGTATGCAAAAACTGAGTCAAATACATGCTTCATAAACGAGGGTTCCTGACAATTGTGTTAGTAAATCGCTCTGGATAATTGAAATTCATTGGCTGCATTCCTGGACCCTTACTTTATTCGCGGAGGCATCGGTGAAGGCCCGATGGATTTTCGCAGTTTCACATCTATCTATACTCTCGCTATATAGGTACTCTACAGCCTATTAAAGATAGCTCATGTCCCAACTCTCAGTTTAAAGGGACTTAGTTTCAGAGACTCTATATAAACGCGCCAATTGTGTCGCGCGCAGAGATGGAAAATTCCATGAAATTTTATGAAATTTATTGAAACTTTTGGGGATACATTCAAGAGGCTAAGAAAAGCCTGGAAACAGTGATTCTAAATTTTGAAATTTTTTACCTCAAGCCTAAAACTTTCGCGCGTTGTAAATTTTTTCGTTCAGTATAGAGGTTAGGTTGGGGTTTTTCTCTCTAAACTCCCCTTTTTGCCCCCTCTTTGTGTCTGGCACCTTCAGTAGAGTAGCATAATACCGCAGCATCAACAGAAAGACCATCTGAAACGCTTTCAGACCTCCAAAGGTTTAATCAATAATTCTAGAAAAAATTAATAAATTTCAACTTTTGTGAAATTAATTCCAGCCTTATGAAATTTCAAAACATGAAATTTCGCTTTCCATCTCTGGTCGCGCGGACAAGGTGACGTCGCGCGCTGCTTGTGAGAGCGTGGCTTTAGGAGGTCTGCGTCGGTCGCGGCTGCTGTTGTTATCAGAGCAAGGTCGGACCACGAGCGCACGGCTCCCGACAGAACCGATTACGCGCTTTCATCCTCATATTGGCGGATCCTCACTCGGGCTCCAGTCTCCACTCGCCGGACATTTAAGTTGCAATGTGGATATACAGAGACAAAGAACAAACAAACAAAAAACATCGGTTATAGAAACCGAATAGTTCGGTAGACGCGCGTCGGTTCAAAGAACTGTGAGCTCGAGCGATCCCGCCGCTGAAAGTGACAAAATTTGGCCCAAATCTCGTTGATTTACGGTCAAAGACAAGAGACCATCCACTAGTATCTTGGCCATGGTGGAAGCTCTTACTTTCGGGACTTCAGCATTCTACTGTTGACTTACCTACATGGTTGATGTTCAACAACGTGTTGGCAGTTCCTTTTTGCAAACAAGCCGAAGTTTGGGAAACTTGTTTGGCTCATGACGTCACCCGAAGCTCATCAGCCATCATGTAGGTAGGTCAACAGCCGAAATTAGGATGATGACTACTGCTCCCTTATAATTTTCCATAAGGAATTGTTGAATCCCCGAAAGTAATAGCTTCCACATCCACCTGTCGCCAAGAGGCCAGTGGAGGGTCTCTTGACTCTGTTTACGGTCGATTACGAGTCGAGAGACCTAACTTCTAAATTCGACTTCAAGCCGCAAAAAATATATTCTAAACTCAAGTTGTACGCAAGTTGTTAATACATGATTGAAAACTATCAGTGCACTGAAAACAAAAATTCAGCCTTGTGAACCGAACGTCCAGTGTTCCATAGCATCCCAAACATTCGGTTTGTCAAACTGAATCTTCGGTTCGTGTAACCGAAAGTTCCGTACATATGACCAAACTTAGCTTGTCAGTTCACTTTATCACACGAGTTCGGTTACACGAACCAAAATCGGTTCCGGTTTGACAACCCAAAAATTCAGTTTGAAGAACCGAACTAGTTGGGATAATATGATACACCAACTTCGGTATACTTATGTCCGAACGTTTTTTTCAGTGAATAGGAGTGTTTTTACCATTAAAGGATAGTCTTACTGCAACTTTGGTCAAATTATCACTTGATCTTAAAAATACCACGATGCTTGGTATGATGACTACCATTAAGAGTTCAGACATGAAAGACTACAACTTTGATACTCTCATTTTTTTCGATGTTCGGGGAATTTTCGTGAGATTTCTTTTTCAAAACCGGAAAGTCTTTTTTCCCCGTCTTTCCGGCGCAAGTATTTTAATTTTACAGATTTGAAGGGGCAGGCGGGCATAATTTTGCTCACGACAACGCACCAAAAACGACCCAGTCGTATCCAGCAGGCGCGGTGTTGAACACAAGTATATTAAAAATTGACTATATTATCCAATTCGGAACTGAAATTTCTTGCTCATCTGTAAAACACTTATGTGCGTCGGAAAACAAGGTCCGCACATTGTTTCTAAATTGAGACAGGAATGGAGATGTTGCATGTGTGAGGATCTGCGATTTGACTGTTGATTATTCTTATGTAAAACGTCGCGAGAGACAAGATGGTGCCACTGGTTTTCTCTGAAATCAACTCCCAAGCTCAAAAAAAGCTCTCAAGTTGATGCCAAAATGGAGGGGATATCATCACGCTATCCTGAGAGTCCACCTCTACATTAAAACAAACTCTCCATGCAAAGATAGGGAGCAAATACATTGGCAGGGTTGCCGTGTTTTCAGTTTTGGAGTCCCCAAATAAAGTGGCAGCCCTGTCAATATATTTGCTCCCTATCTTTGCATGGAGAGTTTGTTTTGCTGTAGAGGTGGACTCTCATGGTAGAGTGGGATATCCCCTCCATCTTGGCCTCAATTTGAGAGCTTTTTTTGAGCTTGGGAGATGATTTCAGAGGAAACCAGTGGCACTATCGTGTTTCTCGCAAACTTTTACATAAGAATCAATAGTCAAATCGCAAATTCCTCACACATGCAACATCTCCATTGTAGTTCCTAATCGCATAATGCAGTCCAAATAATTTATTCGAAAGATCGGCACGAACCAACGAGGGGAGGGGGCTGGATCCCCTGAGCATAAATTATAAAAAAAGTGAATGCAGCGATACGCGCGGCAAGCAAGTTTGATTTATTAGCGCCCCCTAAGGACAAATTTGATTGACCCGTCATCTCGCAAGTTTTTTGTCGTTTATTATGATGTTTTGACGCGTTTGTGAAGGATATAAATTGCCAGATTTGCGATTAAATATGCGACACAGAGAGGAAAAGAGTAAGGACGATTGAATTGAGAAAAGTAATAAAAATATCGAAACAAAAATTAGGTCGAAAAAAAAGGAGAAAAAAACTACTTTATAAGGGCGATATCTCGGCTAGTATTGAACTTAGAAAGTTGCTGTTTAGACAGATCTTATTATTTTTAGTTAATCTACAAGAATCTAGAGCCCCTTTATACTGAGAGTCAAGACAATGTGAATCCATTTCTGATTTGTTCCCGTATTTTAGGCCTCCACAGTGTCACAAACGGGAATAAAGATTACATTTTTACCAATTGCAAAGATTATAATCTGGAATCGACCAATTAATCATAGGTTCGGCAAGGAACCAACGGAATGAGAGAAAGAACGGAGAAAGGAATTTGAGAATGGGCTGATCAAAGATTACAAAAACTTTCAATTTGTAAAATTTTTAATCCCGTTTGTGACTCTATGAGTGGGTGTTGTCTTGACTCTCAGTATAAAGGGACTCTACAAGAATCAAGCTTCAAAACATCATTCCGTGACTTGCGCTACTGGCCAATTACAGATGCTCTTTTGCGATGCAATTGTCTTACCTTGTCTTCGGCGATGGGTTTGAGGGTACCCGAGGGGTCATCAGGGGATATGGGAATGTGGACGGCGGGGGGGCCCCAGGACTCCTCGATGCGAAGTTGAATCCCCGCTAAGGCTGCTGCTTCTTCCTTGCTGCACGGGAGTTCGCCCCCGACAACGTGCTGAAGCAGCTGAAACAGACAGAGCAAAAACAACGTCACTGATGAAGTTTCCAAACTCGTGTTAGTTAGGATTGAAAATAAAAAGAGAAACAACTTAAAACGGGACTAAGGCCGCAAGTAATAAAAAGAAACACATAAAATAAAATAAAATAAGAAACCCGGGACGTTTCGCAGGGATCACACCCGCATTTTCAATCGGCAAAAACAAGAAAAATTAAAAGAAAAGACACTATGAGCTTCTTCACGCCGACCGGCGACTGCACTGTGTTTGGCGCAATGCGCGAAGTATTTCCGCTGTCTTGTAGGCGCTCGTATGAATTTTGTCGCACTACTTTCTTTAATTTTTCTTGTTTTTGCCAGTTGAAAATGCGGGTGTGATTCCTGCGAAACGTCCCGGGTTTCTTATTTTATTTTATGTGTTTCTTTTTATTATTTGCGGCCTTAGTCCCGTTTTAAGTTGTTTCTCTGTTAAAGTTTCAGGCCGATTAAGTCGTTTTTTCTATTATTGAAAATAAAAAGAGCTTTTTCCTGGGCTTAGGTGAGAGGTTATAATATATTGATTTTTTATTCGAAGGAACATTTTTGTCTGCACTTAGCATGAATCATTTCATCAATTTTACCCAGCCATTCTTCAAACTTAATATCTCTCCTCTGTTTCTACGGTTCCTCTCAAATCTAATGCATAGTGCGAGTGCGACTGCCCGTTGGCGCGGGGCGCATATTAGGGCCTTCAAGACTGCGGAGATACTTCACGCATTGCGCAAAACACAGTGCGGTCGCTGTACGGCACGAAATTCATACGAGCGTCGAGCGCCTATAAGACAGCGGGAATACTTCACGCATTGCGCCAAACACACTGCAGTCGCCGGTCAGCGTGAAACGCATATCGACGGTATAGGTCTGGAATCACATAACTCGGTTTGCGACGTCGCAGACTTCCTGTTATACTTCATTTCTTAACCGGAAAACTACTCAACGGCAATTCTTCAAAACTGCCGTGATTTTTCTTCTCTGTGCGAAGAAAATTCCGCAAAAACTTCAAAGAATGATGTCAATTTGTTCTCCTTTAAAAAAATAACATAGAGGCGGGGATTTTCAAACACCGCAAACGAGATTTAGGATTGCGGACTTACGCCGTCGATATGTATGACAAATAATTTTCTTGGCCAAAGTGCGAAACCACGTGTTTCCCTTTGTGACGTTGCAGACTTCCTGTCATACAACAAGGTTTTCGTAAAAAAATTGGTCTACGTTATTCGTAGAAAACTTCCTTGAATTTTCTTCTCCATTAGCAGAATATTCTGTAAAAATTCCAGGCTTGCCAACTTCACCCCAAAGAGATAAATCTGCGTTGAAAATACGCCCATTTACATTTTCTCGCTTCAAAAAGTATACCATGGCGAAGACATATTTTGAGTCAGACGAGTCGACCCAGTTTGACATCACCAGCTTAACGGAAAATGACCGATGTCATAATTAGGTCGCAGTTTTTCAATTGAAAACAAAAAACACGTTATTCGATCAAAACTTCCTCTTTCTTGCTTTTGAAACTACGTTTTAGATAGAAAAGTTGGTTGTTTTTAACTAAGTAATTGTATTACAAAATGGGGGCCATTTTTGGCTTTACGTGGAGTTGTGAGATTTGACGCCGTTAAACTTAGGATCTTTGTGCCCCCCACACGTATGAGGCGCCCCTCACAACGCTTTGCCCTCCCCCCCAACAAGGAAAGGCAGCAGGGGTGGTAATTGAGCCACTGCACTACCGGTGAGATCAGGATGACTCATTCGTAGCAAATGTTTTTGCAAATGGCCGGCCAAAAAATTGCAAAAATTTTACACAGAATTTTATGTACATTTGAAGTAAGTTACAGGCTCTCCCGATGCGGTTTTTGTCATTATTTAGAAGCATCTTTTCTTTCGCTCCAGCAAAAGTTTAAAAAATACCTACAAAAAAGCATAGAAACCTCCAGCGAGGAGAAATATCACACTACCGGAGCGGTCAGTATCAGCCACTACGCTCAAAGGAATTTCAAGCTTACAATAGACTTTAGCGATGGCCGTCACTCTCAACCGTGGATAATACACTTTCACCCTTTGACCCTCTAAAGTGTTGGAAAGCGCGCCCGCTTGACCGCGCACTCTTTGACCAATTTCCATCGACGCCTCATCTGAGCCACCGGAAGCGGAAATCGTTGCCGCGACGGATTTCCCACCCGATTAACCGCGATATTGAAACCCTTCCGATAAAAATCGCATACGTCCAACGCGGTTCGAACGTGATATAGGCTGTTTTTACGAATCGTCACCTCGCCGGCCCAATTGACCGCAACGGAATCCCTTCGAGTGAAAATCACGTATATGCAATGCTCTTCAGATGGGATATCCGTCGTTTCCGGTCAAGGATGCTCGACGACAAAGCCACGTGGTGGAGCGCACGCAAAACGGGTGCATCGAAGTATCACGTGTTGCATACCCTCCGGGAGTTCTTGGAAAACTGCCCGATTGTTTTTTTCCGTTTAGAGAGAGTAGGAAATCGCTTTTATTCTGACTTTAAGCTTCATTTAAGCGTCTGCTTCTCTTGGCAGAGTGATGGTCCAAATTTTCTGGTCGACTTATCACGGTGATTATATGTGCGGCGTTGCCGCTTGGTGCGCGGTTTTGTATTTCTTCGGTAAGATAAGATGTAAAGTAGCTCTATTTTTGTATTACATCTGGCGAGAATTTTAAGAATTTTTTTTAACAAATCTGGATTAAATTGGCAGATAAATTAAAGGGATGTATGTGTTAGGCTACTAGTCAAATCAAGCATTTTGCCTAGTGCCAGGAAAAATAGACAGTATATTTGATCTGCAAAAGATAATTCTGGGAATTTTCTGATTTTTTAAGAAAACTTTTCCAAATGCCGTAAAAAAGATAAGAAAAACGCGTGAAATATTTGACCAATTTTCGATATTTAGCAGATTTATTACAGTAAGCAGTTATCTCAAAATTTTCTCATTAGAGATTATTTGAAAGTTGGAAGGTAATTAATTTGGAGGACAGTATAAAAAACAATCAAATCTAAGGATATTAGTTATTATGCCAATTTTTCTCTCTTTTATTTAAAGCGTTAAAAAATTCACAGATCGACATGAAACCTGGATAGCTCCAAAAACCTATAAGATTTGACTATTTGCCCGGCCATTTGATAAATTGCCTAATATGGCTTTCAGCGTACGGCATTAGTGATAAAAATCGTTTTCCGTCAAAACTAGTAAAAATGTACCCCCTGCTCAAAGTCTAATTATGCCTCAGTAAAACTAGTTATGTCACGTAAATATTTGTTTTAACGATGCAAATCTGGTAAAAGTGGTATTATCCGCGGGATTTTAATTTTTGAGCATAAGGATGATCGACTGAACAATAATGACAAAAGAAAGAAATGCATTATAAAAGCTTAGAAAAAATCCCGCACAGTCAATTCTAGTGATGAACGTAGGGTTCCAAAACTAATTTGGGGGATGGATATCATACGATAACATTTTTTAAATCATTTATTCATTTTTTAGTTTTTCGGAGAATATTAAGGAGAAATAAGCGTCAAAACACTTTTGTTACACAATCAAGTCATACGAAAAAAAGGAGAAACAATCAATGAACCGCAATGCACCACTGGCCAATCAAAGAACTGACGGTCATTATTAACCTCTAATTTTGCTAGTTGTTTGACTACCCAAAAAAAAAAAAAAAAAAAAAAAAAAAAAAAAAAAAAAAAAAAAAAATCCGACAGAATGTTCTGACGCCAATTAACAAGAAGTCTACGTATATTAGCGCTTGCAAGACTTTAGAAATACTTCACGCATTGCGCCAAACAGTGCGGTCGACGTCAAGCCCATATTGGCGCCTACAAGACTGCATGAATACTTCTCGCATTGCGCTAAAGGTACACTCGCGTTTTGCATCGATTTCAGCGATACTTTGATCATGAAATGCATTTTTTACGAACCGGACACGCGTAAAGTGAATTTATCTGACATACTGCATTGAAATCGAACGGATACAGCTGTTCTATCGTCTTGATTAATAGTGTGCCACTGGAGGTCACGACAAGATATTACGAGAGTAGCAAGCTCGCACGGGAAATCATACGATTTCTGATGAAAATGAAGAATCAGATCCATTTCTTGGATCTGGCAAAGATGCATTGGAATTGATGAATGGAAGACCAACGGCGAACTTCCACAGAAGCGGAGGGACTGCCTTAGGAGCTCATTCATCAAAATTAGATGCGTCTGAAACGCTATGTTTCTTGTCCACGTAAAAACAACTCCCCGATATTGGGAAAAGTCTGCTTTCCGAACCCTCTTTACATGCTGAGAGAATATGTGCTGTATTACAGCAATGGAGAATTTGCAAGTGTCTGAAATTTGATGAATTCCATGTTTGAATGGACGCTACCAAGTGAGCTGAACACGAAGATACCCATGGTTTATAAATTGAACAATTTGGAGGAAATATGACAAAATTATCTAATCTGCTAAAATACATGCGTTTAAATGGGACATGCCACCAGATGACGTCACTAGGCGGTGCATTTTCTCACTTTTGTATCAATTTTTATACTTTTTCCCATATCAGAAAAAAAATTATGAAAAATACTGCAAAATCAGCTCCTTAAGCACTTTTAGGTGGAGCAATAAAAAATTTGGGTGCAACTTCTCCATTGGTAATATTCCTGACCCCTCTCAACCTATGATTAGCTAGTAAGATTATTATTGGTCTTATACACACGACTACGGTACACGTCTCGGTCTTGGACTATAGTCCATATGTCTTATGGTCCATTACGGAGATTATAAAAGTTCATAAAAATTTTAAAAAAACATCTCCATAATATCCTAAAATTTTGGTTTGAGGTTATTTCTATTGTTTTGAACGAAACGATGCATCGAACCACTGTCGAATACGATCCATCGGAGAAATGACGCAGCCACTAAATCTTTTGCTCGTCCAAACATTAATACGTAGGA